GGGGTGGAGGTGGGGCTGTGTGTGCATTTATGGACCTGGCCCTTGACTCCCCTGCGGTCCTGCTTCTGCTGCCGCCGGCTGAAAACCTCCATAGGCGGCAGGACCCCATTTGGGCTTGGAAGGAAGCTGCGTTGACTTTCGGTCTGCCTTGGGCCGAGGGCTCATCTCTTCCCTGAAATCCACCACCACTCCCACCCCCAGTTCAAGCCGTGACTGCCCACAGGTCCCCCCTCCCCTCGGGGCTTCCAAACGGTGGGTGGTCTTTGAGCGTTGGCTTCCCATCCCCAGGCTGGCTGGCTTCCCAGTAATGTTCTCCCATCCTCTCCTTGTCGCTGCAGGATCCTGACCCCACTGGTCTACCATGGAAAGACTGCTTCTGTGCCTCTTGTGCATTGGCGTCGCCGTGAGAGCCCAGATCTGCCCGAAGCGCTGTGTCTGCCAGATCCTCTCTCCCAACCTTGCCACGCTCTGTGCCAAGAAGGGGCTCCTGTTTGTGCCCCCCAACATCGACAGGCGGACGGTGGAGCTGCGGCTGGCCGACAACTTTGTCACCAGCATCAAGCGGAAGGACTTTGCCAACATGAGCAGCCTGGTGGACCTGACGCTCTCCCGGAACACCATCAGCTTCGTCACGCCGCACGCCTTCGCCGACCTGCGCAACCTGCGGGCCTTGCACTTGAACAGCAACCGGCTGAGCAAGATCACCCACGACACGCTGAGCGGGCTTTCCAACCTGCACCACCTGATCCTGAACAACAACCAGCTGACGCTGATCTCCTCCACCGCCTTCGACGACGTCCTGGCCCTGGAGGAGCTGGACCTGTCCTACAACAACCTGGAGACCATCCCCTGGGAGGCGGTGGAGAAGATGGTCAGCCTGCACACCCTCAGCCTGGACCACAACATGATCGACCACATCCCCAAGGGGACCTTCTCCCACCTCCACAAGATGACCCGGCTGGACGTGACCTCCAACAAGCTGCACAAACTGCCCCCGGATCCGCTGTTCCAGCGGGCGCAGGTCTTGGCCACCTCGGGGATCATCAGCCCCTCCACCTTCGCCCTGAGCTTCGGGGGGAACCCCCTGCATTGCAACTGCGAACTCCTGTGGCTGAGGCGCCTCTCCAGGGAGGACGACCTGGAGACCTGCGCCTCGCCCCCCCTCCTCTCCGGCCGCTACTTCTGGTCAGTGCCCGAGGAGGAGTTCCTGTGCGAGCCCCCGCTCATCACGCGGCACACGCACGAGATGAGGGTGCTGGAGGGCCAGCGGGCCATCCTGAGGTGCAAAGCCCGGGGTGACCCCGAGCCCACCATCCACTGGATTTCCCCCGAGAGCAAGCTGATTTCCAACGCCACCCGCTCCCTGGTGTACGAGAACGGGACGCTGGACATCCACATCACCACCATGAAGGACACGGGAAACTTCACCTGCATCGCTTCCAACCCGGCCGGGGAGGCCACCCAGTCGGTCTATCTCCACATCATCAAGCTGCCTCACATTGTGAACAGCACCAACCACATCCACGAGCCGGACCCGGGCTCCTCGGACATCTCGACCTCCACTAAATCTGGGTCGAACGCCAGCACGAGCAACGGGGAGGCCAAAATTAGCCCGGACAAGAAGGTGGTGGTGGCCGAAGCCACCTCGTCCACCGCCTTGCTTAAGTTCCATTTCCAAAGGAACATCCCTGGGATACGTATGTTCCAAATCCAGTATAACGGGACGTATGACGACTCCCTGGTTTACAGGTAAGGGGACCCCAGACCGCCTTTCTTCGTGGCTTTCAGGGAGGAGTAAAACCTTCCTCCGTTGCCGAGGAAGCGCCTCCCTCCCTCCTGCCTGGCCTTCCCTCCCTCCAGGGGCCTCTGTGTGTGTGTGTGTGTGTGTGTGTGAGGCATTAGGGATCGGCTCCCATCGATTTTGACCTTCCTCCGGATGCAGTTCTGGGCGCAAGGGCCAGCGAGCACCTGGACCTGACGGGCAAGCCCTGAAAGGGCAGGAGGGGCAGCGGAGCTGGCAGGGGGGCAGGCCATTGGCACAGGGGGTTGGGGGTGAGGGCCAGGCTGGCATCCTTATCTGGCAATGTCCACCAGATAAAGGCAGCCCAGCCACTGGGGCAGGCACAGCTTGCCTGGCTTCCTGCTGTACCCCCCCCCCGATTCCCAGACCAGGGTGCTTTCCGAGCGGCAGTGAGCGAGAGTGCCAGCCTGTGTGCCGGTCATTCTGTCCTCCACCCAGGGCTGCCAGGGCGGGCCCAGGCCCTGACCTGCAGAGCTTCTGGCCTGAGTGCCAGAGGGGGCTTTCCCCTGTCCTTGGGAGACCATGTGGCCAGCTGAGAAGGTTCAGTAGCTCTTAATGGCTGACTGGCCAGTCGGGTGCACTGGGAGGAAGGCCTGGGTGGGGGTGGGGTGGGGGAGGAGCGAGTCTTGGGCAAAGGGATAATGAGTTGGACATGGAAGGGTGTCCCGGTGACCCCCACCCATCTCTTTGTCCCCGGAGAAGCCCCTGCCCTGCTGAGGCCCATGTGAGGCTGGAGACAGAACGGGCCATCCAGGGCTGGTTCCCCGGATCACTCTGTCCATTGGATGGCGCCCCGTTGGGTGGGGAGAACAGCAGTGCAGGGGGGAAAAAAGAGAGACTTTTCTCCTTGTGTGGCAGAGAGTGGCCTCGGTGGCCCAAGGCTGGCCTTGCTAGACACCTGTCAGGGCCATTCAGCTGCCCCCACCCCCAAAGTGGGAATAGGCGGTGAGTGCCCTGAAGAAGTGGGGGGGGCACAAATATTGCTCTGTAAAGTGCCATTAACCAGGCGGTGGGTGCCCTGAAGAAGTGGGAGGGGGGGCAGCCCTACCCCCTGGCCCGACTCCTGGGTCCCTTGGAGGTGGGGAGTCCGTGATTGCTGGGAGGGCAGGATGAGCTCCCGGCTCCCGGCGTGTCGTTCTTGGGGCCCAGATGGCCTGCGTGGCTGTGTGGCTTCATAAGCCGTTGCCCGAGCCGTGGGGTCAGCCCTTAGAGGTGAGGTCTGGATGAGTCCCCCCCCAGCAAAGAGGACCTTGTGGGTAAGGGGGCCACGAGGGTGGCACCGCCTCCCTTTGAGGTTCACCTGGCATCGCCATGATCATCTCTGAGATGCCACACAGATAGAAAGGCACATGAAGCCAACCCTGGACCGAAACGGGCCAGTCTGGGTTCGTCATTTGTTGTTTCATGATCCAGTTCAGGGACCCTGTTTTGCCGAAGCAAAGCGAAACGCTGAACTTTTTCTCCCTTTGGCATTTCATTTCTTCAGCAAGAGAGCCTCTCCGCCGGCCCCCCCATTCTGCCACCGCCGCCTCCCTCTTTCTGCAGCCGCCCCGTCGCCCCCCATGGCTGCTGTGGGTGCTGTCCTCGGAGGCTGCTGGCCCTCCCTGCTTCCCTGCCAGGAGCCGGGGGGGGGGCTGCCTCTCAGCGTGCACCTGCAGCAGCCAGAGGAGCAGGGAAGGACCCCCTCCCAGGCATGCCCTGGAAAAACACACTGCAAACTGGCTCATTTTTTTCCTGGGAGTTTGTGGTCATTTCTGGTCTGTGGTTAGCCACAAGTCAGGAGTCGTCACAAAGGACGGGTTTTCCAGGTCCTGCCCATCTCGACACCCCCTTTGTGTCTGTTTCGAGTCATTCTGGAGTCATTTTTGAAGTCAAAGAAACATATATATATATATTTGCCTTAACGCTTTGGCCTCTGCCTCTGTTTGTGGTGTGGCTGCGTGAAGGTTTCTTGGGTTGGGGGGGGGTTTGACCCTATGGGAACAGCTTCAAGGGTTCCAGTCCCTGGCCGGTCGGGCGGGTCATAAAAGCCGAAGAGGAGGAAGAGGGGTCAGCCCCAGCCTGGCTTCAGCCCACCTGCGGATCTGAGCCTGCAGACAAGACTCAACCCCCGTGCGAGGGCAGGCAACGGCCCCCCCAGGAGCGTGATTTGTCTTTTATTTTTGGATAATCCTTGCTGACCTTTAATCCTTCAAGGTAATCTGTTTAGCGGAAGAACTGGAAGACGGTCACTACAACAACTTCGCTGCCCCTCAGGAGACATGAACAGCCTTCCCCTGGCAGGGAGGGCAGGAAAAGGGAGCTCCCCAATTAACCACTTGTCCCAGATTAACGGGGCGGGGGAGGGAGGGGGAGTGCCGTGAAGGTGTGGGATTTGCTAAATGGATTTGCTGCGAAGCCCTGCTAATGAATGGTCACACCTTTCCAAAAGGATTTATCCTACACTACACTCCCTCCTTTTTTGAAATAAATAGCCCTGTCCTTGTGGGGGGAGCTCCTCCCACAGATCAAAGCACTTAGTGAGTAATCCCTCTGCTCCCCCACCCACTCACCCTCCATTCACAAAAAAAAGAGAGAAAAACCCTTCTCAATGGTTTCCTTCCATGGTCTGTGTACGAGCGATCAATCTCATGCAAGGATAGCCCGGCTGGAGACGAGGGTGGCCTTCACGGCTCCTGTTCCATGTGCTGTGCCCCCTCGCGGAGGGGGGGGGGAGAACAGCTTGAGATTAAAAGGGTCTCTCTGACGTCTCCGAGGAGCCCCCAGAGAGGGGCTGGGAAGGAGTCAGGAGCCCAAAGGAAGGTTTTCAGGCCAGGAAATGGGGCTGCCCCTCCAGCTCGCTCGTGAAAGCCCGGTGGTTGGGGAGCTCTGAAGATGACCCACGCGTGGGCCTGCTCCAGCACAGGGCATGGAAGGGAAGAGTCCTGTCTTGGGCACGCCTGCCTGCTGCCCTTCGGCTTAGAAAGGTTCCTGTCCCACTTTTTCCTACTCGTCCCACAAGCCAAAGAAAGAAAAGAGGTCTCATGCAGACCCTTTTCCGTAGCAACCAGTCAATGGGGCTATGAAGTCATGGTGCAAAACAGAAGGCACAAAGGGGGGGCTCCCGGGATCTCTTTAGCCCCCCCCCCCGGAACTGGCCTCAGAGAGCAGGAAAGATGCCTGGCCTGATTGTATTGTGGGGGGGGGAGCAATGCAGGGGGGCAGAAGAGTTAGAGTGGCTGGAGGGAAAGCCTGCTCCCCGTTTTTGCTTGTCGAACCCTTGGGAGCCGGTGGGGCCCTCGGGTCGCTGTGTCATACAGCAGGGGCTGTCTTCTTTTCCTGCTGGCTTCTGTCCCAACCGCCTGGAGAACGAGGCAGGGGGGCCATATCCGGCTTTCTCGCGCTCAGAGGGAGAAGGTGGGACAGGAGTCCAGGCATGTGGCTGCTCAGAGGGCTGGCCTTGCACCACAGCACCGGTGTTTTTTGTCCCTGGGTTACAGTGAGGTCTCCTCTCCCTCTCCAGGATGATCCCCCCCACGAGCAAGACCTTCCTGGTGAACAACCTGGCCGCCGGCACGATGTACGACCTGTGCGTCTTGGCGATCTACGACGACGGCATCACCTCCCTGACGGCCACCCGCGTGGTGGGCTGCATCCAGTTCACCACCGAGCAGGATTATGTCCGCTGCCATTTCATGCAGTCCCAGTTCCTGGGGGGGACCATGATCATCATCATTGGTGGCATCATCGTGGCCTCCGTCCTGGTCTTCATCATCATCCTCATGATCCGCTACAAGGTGTGTAACAACGGCGGTGGGCACCAGAAGGCCGCCAAGGTCAGCAACGTTTACTCCCAGACCAATGGGGCCCAGGGGTGCAGCGGAGCCGTGGCCCAATCTGGGTCCAAGCAGGCCATGGGGCGCGAGGAGAGCCTCCAGTGCTGCAAGGTCGGCGGCGAGGGGGCAGCCCCCTCGTCCTCAGAGGCCGGCTCTTCCCGCCAGGACTCCTCCTTTCCCTCCGCCGCTACCTCCGCCGCGTGGACTTCCGCCCCTTCGGCTTCCCAAAAGCTGAAGCGCAAGCCCACGCCAAAGTCCAGCAGCGAGCCGACGCCGACTGGGGAAGGGGCCGCCGCCAGCCTGGAGTCCCACCAGAACACGAACCGCAACAACTCCACCGCCCTGCAGTCGCCGTCGGCTGGCGGGGTCCCGGACTGTGGGGCCACGGGCCCCCCTCTGTACAAAAGAGCACAAGCCAAGCCAAGTAAGTTCCTCACTTTGCCGGCCGACCCGTCCCGGGCAAAGCGCAGGTACTCCCTGAACGGAGAATTCATGGAATACCGTTGTTACATTAACTCCTCCTCGTCTCCGGCTGGATTTTGGTCTAAGAGGAGTTTGTCTATGAATGGGATGCTGATGCGGAGAGACGGTGGCGGCGCTGCCGGCGAGGCGGGGAGCGGCCGAGCGACTTTCTCGAGTTCTGAGTGGATATTGGAGAGCACTGTGTGAGAGCTACGGTGATGATGGTGGTGTGTGTGTGTGTTTGTTTTTTCTCTTTTTTTAAATTAAGAAAAAGAAAAGAGAAAGAAAAAAGAAAGAAGCACGGAGAAACCCTCTCCCGTCAAACACTGTCCGAGAACTCCTCTCCCTCTTAAGCCGTTGGCGTTTCTCACCCTCTCTCGTGTGTCCACGCAGAGTTAAGCACACAACTTCCACACAGTCTTCTTGGGTCTTATTTGATTTTAAGTATAACATCGGAAGGCAAATCATTTTAATGAGCTCATTCAAAAAAAGAGTGGGGATTAAGGGGGGGAAAAGCATGAAACGACACCCGTGCGGATTGGCCTTCTTGGCCCACGGTAGCCGGCCAGCCGATGGAGGACAAAGGAGGAAGGGGCGGAAAAGGCCCTTTGTAAACAATCTGGCTGCTGCCTTCACACTGACCACAACAGACCACTTAATGGATTTGGATGCAAAAGTGAGAGCGAGAGAGAGAGAGATAGAGAGAGAATTTTTAAAAGTGATCTGAGTGTTCTTTTCCTTTCCTCACCCCCTCCCCTCCCCGTGACCATGGTGCTGCCTTCGTTTCAGGCAAATACTGTACAAAACCAACAACTCTGTGTTGTTACGTTGTGTAAAATAAAATATTCCATCTCTATACTCAGTACGGCGGCAGCAGCGGAGGTGGTGGTGGTGTTTCCCCTCGGTGGTTCAGGTGTTCTGGCTGGCTTCATGACTGCCCCACCCGTGTGGAGAGGGAGGGGGGAGACCCTGAGGGGGGGCAGGTGCTCAGGGCAATGGCCAGGTGGGGTTCATGGATGCTCCAGCTGTTTTTCTGTTTGTCGCCCGAGGAGGCGGGCCTGGCTCCCGTCTGGACCCTGCCTCTCTCTGTCCGTCTGTCTCTCTCTCTTTGAGTGCCTGGCCTTGGAGGCATCTGCCAGGGAGGGCAGTCCTCCAGGCAGGAGGGTGGGCAGGTGAGGCCTGGTGGGCAGGCGGGAGAACCCGCGAGCTCCTCGGGCTGCCAGTTTCTGAGGAGCGCGGTGGTGGCTGGCTTTCCCTGGTGTGATGTGTAGCTGGGTGCGTGAGGCTGAGGTCTTGGGCTGAGTCAGCAGAAGCCTGGCATTGAGGGTGACGTGGTGCCCTTCCCTTGCCCTGAAAAGTGGCGAGACCTCTGGCCCAAGGCCATCCATGAAAAGGAATGGAAGGGAAAGGTGGAAAAGTGGCAAAAAGGCCCGAGATGAAGGCCTGGGCAGGTATCTCCGGGTGCCTCTGGAGGTCGCCCTGGAAATCGGGGTTCTCAGTTATGCGATCGTGGGGCTTCTGGACTATGATGCCTCTGAGTGAAACGGAGGCTCCTGTCTGTGCCAAAAAAACATTGTCCATAGGCACCATTTGGTGGTTCTTCTTTGTGGCCTCTGTGAATCACACTGTGGGTGATCTGTGGCTGTGCGGAGCGTCTTTGGAATATTCCAGAGCTTCTACGGTAGCAAAAATTAGAATAGACCTCTCCCTCTCGGTACAAGTACCTTGGCGCCAGGACTCTCCCTTCAGTTTCTTTCAACTGCCGCGTTGAAGAGCCTCGCACATCTATCTTCTGTGATTCTGAAAGTGAAACAAGTCCTTTTTACTGCTGAACTTAAATGTTTTTCCTCTTGATTATTAATCAAAGATACATATACGAACTGTTTTTAGTTTTCTTCTCTGTGCCTTGGCCTCTGGCTGTGACACCCCCTTCCCTCTCCCTCGCTCCGATTTTTCTTTTTCTTCTCTTTATTGTTCATGGCCCCTTTGGGCCCATTCAAGCACTGCATGATTTGTGATAACAAGATCCTGCTATCGGATGGTCACGCAAAGTGCCTTTTTTGTTTAGGCGAGGCGCATCAAACCTCCTTGTGCCCTCATTGTAAAAATTTCAAACGAGGAGTCCTCCATTCTCGCCTATCTCAACTCAAACTCTGCCTCCGGGGACAGTCTTTGCAACCAGCAAAACCTTTGGCTCAAACTACTGTATGTGTAAAACCACATCACAAGCCAAAGCCATGGAAAAAGCCATTGCAGAATCATTGAAACATAGTTCCTCCACTACTCCATCTCACTCTGATGTGCCTTCCACTTCATCAAAAACGTCTAAGATGCACAGATCTAAACAGCTGACATCGAAAACTTCAACATCGAAGCCTTTCGGAAAGTAAAAGCCTCCTCCCAATCCGGTTCCTGGTCCCCCGCCACCAAAACAATCTAAACAAACCAAATCAAAGACTCCCGCAGTCCCTCCACAGCAGGTTTCCGAACCCAGCGATTTAATTTCTGTAGGTTCACACTCTGATGATGGACTTCCATCTCATCAACTGTCTTCTCAGTCACCGCCATGAGACGAGCGAGTAGACCATCTTATTTCCTCGCCTAATAGTCCCCAGCATTTTATCTGTCCTCCTAATCCGTCCACTGATGCCTCCCCAGAGAGAGAGAGAGGAACCTGAGCCTCAGCCAGACAGAGCGCCCTGTTCTATGCCAATTTCCTGGCCTCCACTGCCACCGGTATGCTATCAGGCCCATCCAGCATATGAGGCAATGCCACAAGCACGTGTTGATCAATCCTGCGCACAGCACGCTCATTGGGTAGACATTTGCCCCAATCGGTGCTTCTGTAACCTGCCAGCTGCAGATGCTCAACTGGCTGCCTCCCCCAGTCCGTTATTAGCATCATGCCAAAAACCTCCATCTCGACAACCTTCCATATCTTAGAAACCTTATCACTCAGAGGCACGTAGTCATCATATGACTGTTCATCAACCATCGGCGAAAATCAGGGCATTCGAGAAACACACTTCCACCTGCGAAGCATTCGCAGCCCCTGTTACTACATATTTTCCAGCTCAAAATGATGGAAATCACTCCTCTCGCTCAGCATCCCCAGCCTTGATTTATTCTACAGACCTGCCTATGCATCCACCAAATCGGCCTCTGCTGCCTTTTCAATACCATAGAGATACTGGTTCCGATATCAATGACCCTTGATATCCATCCTGGCTCAAGGACGCCCCACTTCAATCTTTCTCAGTTGCTACCCCTAAACAACGGCACCAAACTAGACACACGGTCCGTCAATATCGAGACACAGACTTTGACAACGAGATCCCATCTGGTTTACCTCCATCCATGGACGCACCTTCAACATTGATACCGGTTGACAAATCTCGACATCGTCAAATGTCCATGGACATGCCACACTCTTCAGTGGCAGACCACCATCAACATTACTGTGATCAACATCCTCTCGTCACCGAGGTTGATCAATGTTCTATCGACTCCAGGGTTGGCCCTGAGGTCTCAGAACATGGTTCTCGACCTGTGCTTCTCACATCGCCAGATTCCGAACTCGCAGATGTAGCTCCTCCATCCTCAGCAGAGGATTTCCAAACTTATGCTCAATTCATGATTCGCATGGCTAAGTCATTGGATCTTCAAATCTATTGGCCCACAACCGAACCAGTGGATCACCTTTATGATCCTATTTCTAAGGACACAACTACCCCAGTCCGTATTTCCATGTTACCATCTGGTCATTGCGACCATCATCTCCATCAACCCCTCCCACAGACAGTTTCTTCGATTCCAACTTGGACCCCAAGCCTACCAATTCAAAAGACTTCCTTTTGTACTTGCAGCAGCCTCAGAGTCTTCATCGTGTGCATGGCCCCAGTGGCCTTTCTCAGTCTTCAAAAGAGCCTTGTCTTCCCATACATAGACGACTGGCTCCTTGTAGCTTGTTCCCGCCACAAAGCTCGCCGAGACACCCTTTTCACCTTATCCCTCTTTCGTGATCTTGGTCTCATGGAAAACATGCAAAAATCCAAAATGAGCCCTACAAGGATTATTCATTATATCAGGGCTTCCATAGACTCCACCCAAGCTCACGCGTTCCTCCCACTTGACAAACAACAAAACTTCATCTCCCTCCTCCAAGGTTTCACCCCCCCATGCCTTGGTTCCTGCCATCCTCATCCAATGTGTACAACATGTACGCCTGACGATAAGGTCTCTACAATCGTGTTTTTTCGCACTTTTAGAGTCACTGACAGATCCTCCCAATACACTTTTAAGAGTTACTCCCGAATTCGCCTCACAACTCCAATGGTGGCGCTTCGTCTCAAATCTCTCTATGGGACACCCTTTCCAGCAACCACATCCTCAAATACAGGTCACAACCGACGCCAGCCTTACCGGCTGGGGAGCACATTGTGGCTCCCTCAAAATACACGCCAATTGATCCCGCAGAGAACGTTCACTCCACATCAGCTAGTTAGAACTATTAGTGGTAATAAAGGCATGCAAAGCATTCAGAAACATTCTAGCTGGCAAGGTGGTTCAGATTGCCACCGACACCACCACACCCAAGTACTATATTCTCAAACAAGGAGGCACACACTCCCCAAGCCTCCTCTGTTTGGCAATCGACCTATGGGAATGGTGCCTCTCGCACCACATATGCCTCACAGGTCTGCACATCGCAGACCAGGACAACGACTAGCCAACTCTCTCAGCCGCACAAACTCACAACCTCATGAGTGGGGATTAGATCAAACAACTTTCCTCCACCTGTGCAGAAGATAGGGAAAATGGACTGTAGACCTTTTTGCCTCCCGCAAGAATTGGAAATGCAAGTGCTATTGCTCCTGTGCCAGGATCGGCAAAAACTAGAAAAGCTTACCTGTATAAATGGGGAAAAATTCAATCTTTTAGTACAGCTCTTTTCCTTCCTGCCGTCAACCCATCTCTCTCCACGGTTCTCTGATATTTGCTCCATCTCAAACCTTCTGGTCTTTCTCTCTCGTCTATTAGAGTCTATCTCTTGGAATTGTTTCGTACCAACCACCGACCTCTCCAGCAGCTCAATTTTTCAGACATCCCACGCTCAAGCACTTTCTTAAGGTATTGTCACACGCTTACCCAGACGTTCACCTGCCCTCTCCACAATGGTCCTTGACCTTAGTCTTCCGACAACTCACTAACCCTCCGTTCGAACCGCTAGCCTCAGCAGATCTTTGTCTACTTTCCTTCAAAACATTCTTTCTCATTGCAATTACTTCAGCTCGCTGAGCAAGCGACCTTGTGGCCCTATACCGTGATTATCCTTATATACTATTTTATCCTGATAACGTAAAGCTGTTCCTCCATGTCTCCTTCCTCCCTAAAGTTGTGTCTCAGTTTCATCTCTCTCAACCACTGGTCGTCCCATCTTTCTTTCTGTCACCACCCACAACCCATGAACGACTGCTTCATACTTTGGACATGTACGCAACCCTTACAATGTTCCCCACGCCTTGTTGTCAGTCATCAACTTCCTAACAAAGGCCTACAAGTCACCTCCCAGACAATTTCTCACTGGGTTGCCTCTACTATTTGCCTTGCGTGCCAGCTTGGTTGGCAGCCAGTCCCTCAAGCTATTCGCCCTCATTCCACCAGGGCGTTGGCGGC